CCCCTCTCTCTCTCTCTTCATTTTTTGTATACATCCGTCTTCTTGTTGCAGCCATACAAAAATGTGTTATCATTGTTATCATTCGCCGGGAAGAGATCCTGTATGTCTGCGACATCCTTCTGCCCAAAGACAAGTGGTTTATTTGTTGTTGTTTTTATAGTAAGTGTTTTACGGCACTTGCAACACAAGTAAAAAAAATAAATGAAATTATGCAAACTGTGCCCAAAAGTGTGAAATTATGCGATTCTGTGAATTTTAACAAAGAATGCTAAAGGAAAATAATCAGAAATTATGCAAAGAATGATCAAATTTTGTTAAATTATGCGTGGTGCATAAAACCACGGGGACAGAAGATTTGGAGCACTGGCTGCAGAGATGCCCTGCTACGGAGGTCCGGCGGTGGAATCTCTTTGGAGAGGATTCAGGGAGGTTGGACTGCCTCACCCGCTACCTAAGAGAGGCGGTGGCCCTGGCGAAGAGCACGTTCTTCGGGGCTCCAAACAATGCGGAAGGATAGGCTACCATACACACACAGACAGAAACTACAGAGGGGAAGAAAAGAAATAGGATCTATCATGGCGCTCTCCAACCACCCTCTCAGACAGAAACAACAGAGGGAAAGTTAAGAAGTAGGACCTAAATGTGGCACCCTCCAACCACCCATACAGACAGACAGACACACCAGAGGTAAAGTACAGAAGTAGGACATACCAGTAAAACCCTCCAACCACCAACACAGATAAAAATAACAGAGGGAAAGTTAAAAAGTATGACCTACCAGTGGCGCCCTCCAACCACCCGCACAGACAGAAACAAGAGAGGGAAAATAAAGAAGAAGAACCTGCCAGTGGCGCCCTCCAACCACCCGCACAGACAGACACAACAGATGGAAAGTAAAGAAGTAGGACCCACGCATCCAAAAATAAATCTTTTAGTTCCGGTATCATCGAGTAGGACTAGGACCTTCCAGGGACACCCTCCAACCACCCACAAGCCAAGTAGTTAGTCGCTGAGTCAGCTCTCCACACTCCACACTCCACCACACAACTGCCATGCCGATGCCGACAGTGTGGGTGACCCTGTCGTCTCAAGGTCATACCTCTCCACGGGGGCTCTCGTGGCCTAAAAAGGTGAGGTTGTTCGCCTCTATCTCATTCAATAGGTCCCGGGTTCGAAACCGGATAGCGACGGACATTTCTCTTCTTTCTAATTGTCTCCTTTCACCTCCATCCCTGCTCTCTAGCAATGTTCTGTCGTCTGCTTTCGTCTCCACTTTCTGTCCCCACCCCCCTCACCTCCTTTGCCCCCTCACCTGGGCTCCGGACTCTTTCTGCAGACTTTCTACTGCTACTCCTTGGCTCCTTCTTACTGCTCTCTTTCATCATTCTTCACTTTTTAGAATAATTCTAGTACGAAGATCTCTTTGAAATGTCAGTATTTCTCCAAAACTCATTTCGACTGACCGCTACGCAAAGCGTACGGATCGGTTTAACAAGTAAATTTCCTCTTTGGAATGTGGTGGCACAGAGTTCCCCATGTCGTATGGATACGACAGTAAAACACGACGTACGGATAATGTTAAGTATCAGAGAGATAGGGGGGCACTTTCTACCCATGTTCATTGCTTTCTCGGAAGAGAGATAAGAACATAGTGGGGCTAAGGGACAATGAGCGATGGGGAACTTGAAGAGGGGGATGAGTGGGGACTGGGGGCGGAAAACAAGGATGTGATGGACAGAATAGCAGGGAGAGAGAGAGAGAGAGAGAGAGAGAGAGAGAGAGAGAGAGAGAGAGAGAGAGAGAGAGGGAGAGGGAGAGAGAGAGAGAGAGAGAGAGAGAGAGAGAGAGAGAGAGAGAGAGAGAGAGAGAGAGAGAGGGGGGGGGGAGAGTAAGTGAGACACGAGACAGATACGTTTCTTTCATTCTTTTAACAATTTATGTTTAATCTTTTTCATGTATCCTTTTTTGCCCTTTTCAACATTTAGAATTTTAATTTTAATAAATAAAATAAATGTATTTCTAAAACATAGTTAGGATCATTTCATATAATAAACTGAACAAAACCATCCTTTAATTTGATATGGGTCTATCTGTGTCTTTAAAGGCTAGAATCCGAGAATTAATAATTGTGAGGCAGCGTGGTGGAATCAGGCTCTCGTCAATTTTTGAGCATGTTGAGTTATTGGTATCATCTTATGCTTAAAGCTTGTTCACTTGTCTTTATTTGGATGGGGAAAATATCCATTTATCTTGAATACAAGTCGAGATATGTGCGAAAGAAGGAGGTGGGGGTCACCTGTTTTCAGATGTAAACTTAGTGAGAAAATGGCCGTCAAAAATTAGTTATTTCCTTAGCTTAAGAGTTCGTGGTAACAAAATTTACATTTTTTGTGCCCTTAGTCAACGTCTTTTAGAAAAATCCACACAGAAATGAGTTCTTTAATGGGCATGAAAGGTGTTGAGCCAAAATACAACAATCTGGTAAAAATTCACAAACCCATGGAAAAATGCAGGTTTCTTCACTTTGGTTATTTTGACGAGAGCCTGATTCCACCACGCTGCCTCACAATTAATCTTGTCAGCACACTTCACAATAATGCGACACGACACGGTGGAATCAGGAGCTCGTCAATTTTCGGACACGTATAAAGTTATTGGTGTCATCTTAAAGTTAAAGGTTGTTCACTTTCCTTGCTTTTAATGAAAAGAACGACAATAATATATTAAATTAGTATTATATAGAAGTATGCCATCGCACGAGATGGGGGTCACTTGGTGTTAGAAGAGGTAAAATTATCGAGAAAATGGCCACCAAAGATAACAATCTTCCAAAGCTTGAGTGTACGTGGAAACTGAAAATTTTCGGGTTTTTTTAAACCTTTGATCAACATTTTGTTCTCGTAAAATCCATACATAAATGTGTTATTAAACAGGCATTAACGATGTTGAGGCAAAAAAACAACAACAAATAAACAATTGCAACAAAATAAACACTCCCCCCCCCCCCAAATCTTGAATACAAGTCGAGATATTTGGGAATTAAGGAAGTGGGGGTCATCTGTTTTCAGAGGTAAAATTAGTGAGTAAATGGCCGCCAAAGATTAGTTATTTCCTTAGCTTAAGAGTCCGTGGTGTAAGTGAAAATTTACAATTTTTGTGCATTTAATCAACGTTTTTCAGAAAAATTCTCACAGAAATGAATTTTTAAAAAATGATAGAAAACGCCTCACAAGCGGAAAAATGCATAGATGTACACTATGGAAAAATGACATAATTTCTTTGATTTCATTGTTTTGACAAACGCCTGATTTAACCACGATGCCTCACAAATAAAGAATTCGTATTTTCCTATAGATACTTCCGCTGAACCCAGACTCTCAACGTTTTAAATACATTCTCCAACGAACTGGTTGACGGCTATGTCGCTCTTTTATAATCTTTATAAGGCAGCGTGGTGGAATCAGGCTGTCGTCAAAATAATGAAATCAAAGATAATGGCATTTTTCTGCCCGTTTGGCAATTTTTTATCAAATTTTTATTTTTAAGCTCAACAACTGTTATGCCAATTTAAAAACACATTTCTGTGTGGATTATCCCGAAAAATGTTGATTAAAGGTACAAAAAATGTAAATTTTCAGTTTTCAAGGACTCTCACGCATTCAAAGATACCAAGCTTTGGCGGTCATTTTCTCCCTTATTTTTCTACTGAAATCAGGTTACCCTACTTACTTCAATCATAAACATTTCGACTTCTATTTAAGATAGAGGGGTACTTTTTTAACCGAAAGATAGACAAATGAACAGGCTTTAAGATGACATCAATAACTCCACATGCCCCAAAATTGACGAGTGCCTGATTCTACCACGCT